GAGTAGAAAGCCCAGTCTTTCTCCTGAGGAGCTGCTGTTGGTTTTGAACTGCCGATCCTGCAGATCGCAGTCCAACAACATGTAACCACTACACCACCAGGGCTCATAAACACATACACGTACCTGTATACGTACGCACATCTACGTATATATATACACACACACACATGAGGGTGTACCCACTCCCACCCCACCCCCCCAAAAAACGGGAAAAAGCTCTGCTAGGTGGAGCTTATGTCGCATTTTTCCTGCGAGGCAAGCATCAAGCAGTTTGCTGTTAATGCACCCAGTGGCCTCGCCTGGGAAGGTTCTCTCTGGCATCACAGTAAACTTTTTTGTAAAAGCAGTTTCAGTGAAACCTTTTGTGTTTTGTGATGGCCAATTTAAGAGAACAGCATGCAGATGTGAAATTTTGTTTCCTGCTTGGGAAAAATGCCGCAGGAACTGTTGTGATGTTGAACACAGTTTACAAGGACAGCACTGTGGGGAAAACTCAAATGTACACGCATGGTTTTCTCATTTCAAAAAACGTGAAATGCCAATTGATGACAAACCAGGTTCTAGGATGACAGTCAAATTCCCGAAAATGTCTATTCATAGTGCATTTGGAGTTCATTCCACCAGGTCAGACTGTTAATCCAGCTTTCTATTTAAAGCAGCGGTTCTCAACCTGTGGATTGCAACTCCTTTGGAAAGTCAAAGCACCCTTTCACAGGGGTTGCCCGATTCATAACAGGAGCAAACTTACTGTTGTGAAGTAGCAACGAAAATAATTTTATGGTTGGGGGTCACCACAACATGCACAACTGTATTAAAGGGTCACGGCATGAGGAAGGTTGAGAACCACTAAGGTAGAGCAAGTCTGTCACGTGAGAAAACATTCATAACCCGTTTCTGTTTCTGGCACAGGATGGGGTATGCAAGAATTTCTCATGCTGAACTGAGTGATTCTGAAATTCAGATGGCCAAATTTAGGATTCCTGATGATCCCAGTAATTACAGAGACAACCAGAAAGTGGTCATTGACGACAGAGAGGTTCCTGAGGAAATCCGCTTCACTCCCAGGTGAGTGTATTCCTTTCCATTGTCGACCAGAGGTAGGAGTGTTTGCTGAAGGGAAGGCCGGTGACAAAGAAGGCAAACCTTAGTGATTGACACACAGGAACAAGAACAGTGGACCCCAGCATACCAATGACCGTGGGGCTTCATGCTGTCACCGTCAGTCAGAGCCAGCTGACTACCTGTGAGATGCCAGCCACATGCCCTCTTGGGAATCTAAGAAGCACAGCCAGAATGCTCCTTAGAGGCGAGGATGGCAAGACTTCGTGTCGCGTACTTTGGACCTGTAGTCAGGAGAGACCAGTCCCTGGAGAAGGACATCATGCTTGGTGAAGTAGAGAGGCAGCAAGAAAGAGGGAAGCCCCTCTATGAGAAGGTTGACACAGTGGGTGCAACAATAGGTTCAAATATAGGAATGATTGTGAGGACGGTTTCCTTCTGTTGTGCAGAGGGTCGCTATGGGTCAGAAGTGACTCAATGGAAGCTAACAACAACTGCATCTCAGGTAAGGAGCCCTCGTGGCTCTATGGTTAAGTGCTCAACTGCTTATTGAAAGGTTGGCAGTTTGAACCTACCCAGTTGACTCTGTGGAAGAAAGATTTGGTTTGGTGATCTTCTCTTGTAAAGATTATAGCCCAGAAGATCTTATGGGGGCAGTGCTACTCTGTCACATGGGGCCACCATGAGTCAAAAGTGTACTTGATGGCACACAGCACCATCTCAGTCCCTGTTCTAGGTGCTTTAT